TGCTGGCAGATCCCCCGCCTTGCATTTGGAGCCTGCCGATGCACTGAAGAGACACAGGCTGCAGTGCGCCGCCTAGTGGCACCTGCGAGCACTGGCAGGGCTGGAGACGCGGTGCGCGAGCTGCCAGCCACTCTTGCAGGGAGCTCCAATGGCGGCTTTCAAATCATAATTGTTATGAAATAGGTAGCTTTTGTTCAGGTAGATTAGAAGACGTATGCATATTCCTTTTAGTCCCGCGAGGTGGTTATTTCCGTTTTATAATGAAGGGAACTGATGTTGGGACAGATCTACTAAGTGGTCCAAAATCCCCCAGCAGGTGTGAAGAGCAGACACCAGTCTTGGGCCACAGCCACCAGGTGGACTCCAGCTTCCAGACCTCTGTGTCCTGAATACTCTCCTGTTTGGGAGATTTGAGTGTGGTTCCCTGAAGCATCTGCAGCCTCCACTAAGGGTCAGCACTGGCTCAGGAACTGCTTTCAAAGCAGCTGAACCCCACAAAGGCTGCCCTGACTGCAGTCTCAGGCCTCCAGATCCCCAAAACATGGATTGAGGCCTTCTTGGGACTCCTTCCCCTGGCCTTATTGTGTAGGTCTTTTATCAATAACCCTCTTTCCTTTGCCCCATTAACAAATCCATTCAACCAATACCACTTGCTCTACTGTGTGCGGGAGACAATACTGATGGAATCATATGGAACAGGAAATATGGGGGCCACCGTTCCACAACCCAGTGTAGGCCTTCTTGCTTAACTTGCACTCCTTGGGTGAGTCCCATGACACAGAGTGTGGGGACACTCCTGGAAAGTCTGTGCAGCTTCTCTGGTGTGTGATCCTGAGGCTTGGGCCCTTGTCTAGGAGAGGGACATGGTGTCCTAGCTGAGGGCCAAAGCTGAGTTTGCCTGAGCTAGAGGTGGGCCAGCTGCAGGTGGCTGGGGGAAAGTATGTCCATGAGATTTGGTACAGAGGAAGCATAGGGGAGTTATGGGAGATTTCCCCCAAAGCCTGAGATTCCCTAATTCTAGAGGGAGAAGAGCACCTCTTTGAGCAGTTGTCAAGATTGGAGAGGCTGGAGGAGGGACAGAAAGCAGGAAAAAGGACACCAGTCATGAAAGAGGATATAAAGCTTTTTTCTGGTTTCAACTCTATTATATGTATGTGCATTATATATATAATTTCCTTTTTCTGTGGTGGTATAAAGTATATAAAAATCTAATTGATGGTGAAAGTGTAAAACCATAAGTGAAGCTCCGTGGCTTCAAAATGGCCATTCCAACTGCATAGAATGGAGTTTGGGACTGGGCACCTGTCTGAGTGGCTTTCTTAAACTAGTTGTGTAATGCTTCTATTTGTGAGTTAATTAGAATAAAGTGGTTTTATTAAATATCAAGCCTAGGAACTTGTGGCTAGGTCACAGGCTATAAGGGAGAACCAACTACTATTATTCTGATAAGTGGACATAGTATTAAACTGACTCCTAATGACTTATGGTGCCTCTCTCAACTCTTACCAGATAAGTGGACATAGTATTAAACTGACTCCTAATGACTTATGGTGCCTCTCTCAACTCTTACCAGAGAAGTTTCTTTTTGCAGCAAATAGCAGTTAACTCAGAAACCCACCACTGGTCAATGTGCTGAGAATAAGAGACTGCAGAGTTCTTAGCCGTGAATGGAACACCTTATTAAACCCTTGCCACCCAAGACTCAGTGATCATTGTGGAAGAGGGAGTGGAAAGACTGAAAGAGCCAGAGGTAGTGAATGACTTCAAGGAAATAGTGTTTTCCAGACAGCAGGGCAGTTACTCATATGAACTCACAGCAATGGGAACAGCATGCACAAGAACCACATAAGCTCAAGCCAGACAAATTCCCAGCACAGAGTTGGGGGGGACATGAATAAGAAACCCCAACCCTACCTGATGAACTTTTGGCAACTGATGACTGCTGGGAGAGGGAAAGTCAGTTTTCTTTAAGGATGACCAGGTTCCAGGGGATGAACCCACACTGAAGGGCATTTGGGGACACAAATTAAGACTCCATAGGCCTTAAAAAATAATAGAGGACTTGAAATCAGTTGCAAGGTAGTAAAGGGGGTGGGGGTGCAGATGGGGTCTGAATATGATTAAAATACCTTATATGAATTCTCAACAATTCAATACAAGTATTTTTTAAGTGATTTTCTTTTTAGGTAAGTGCACCCATGTTGTGCAGTGCCCAAGGAAGACAGAAGAGGCTGTCAGATTCCCTGGAACTGGAGTTACGGACAGTTGTTAGCTGCCATGTGGGTGCTGGGATTCAAACCTGGGTCTTCTGCAAGAACAGTCAGTGTTCTTAACCACTGAGCCATCTCTCCACCCCAGTGATTTTATTTTTTCAAGAAAAGAATAGAGATAGCTTTCAGGCTGGAGCAGGGGTGGATAGCAGGGAAGGAGAGGCTTACTGCTCCTTTATCCCTTTCTCCCCAGGCAGGAACTGAGCAAAGCCTTCGAATGCTAGTTGGGTTACTGGGTCCAAGTGACTGCCTGAACAGCAGGGTTCCAAACACTGCAACTTTTAAAGAAAAGTCTCCAGTATCTCACTGAGAAAGAATGAAACTGCTGTGTCTGCTGAGCTCTCCAGCGTGCTCTTGACCTTGTGCCTGTGTCCAGGGTCTGAGAATCAGATGGGAGTCTTGGTACCCATAGGCCTATGTGTGTTTCCTGGCAGTTATTAAGTATCAAAATCCCTGTTTGTCTTTCAACTGCCTTTGTGGACTCTTAGATGTGTGTGTCTGGGGATGTGTCCTGCTATCTGTATCTCTGAGTCACTGATCTGCAGGTGTCTCTCTAAGCGGATGCCTTTTTGTACATGGGGTGTTTCAGGAAAGATTGTCTTGCACCTGCATGTCTCTGTCATATGTTTACTTGTGTGTTCTTTTGCAGGTATGTGTGGGGGTGTGCCTATAACTGTTCAGGGGTGTGTGCAACTTCATGTTTGTGGACTGGGATGGGTGGAGCTGGCTGGGTGTGATCAGCCACTACCCTTTTGCTCAGGCTGTTCCAGGCCAGGCTAAAAATAACCCACTTACCTTCGCCCACAGAGACCAAAGTCCTTCCCTGGAAGTCCACTCCACCCATATTCACCCTCCTAATTCTAGGTGGCCATGGGAGGAGGGGGAAGGTTGTCTACATGTACTACCTCCTATAGATGCTTCAGTCTTTAGTATGGGGTGGGGGCTAGGAGGTGCCCAGCAGTCCTGCTTTCATCACTTCCCTGGGGACACAGGCAGATCCTCTGCCCTCTTCCTACCAACCTGGTCTCATCTAGTAGGCCAGTATGTCTCCCAAGCCTTTTTTCCTCCAATCTAAGAACAACTCTGGGGACACTTGGTCCTATTGTACTCTTATCTTGTCCCCCCAACCTGTGCCCCATGTCTTCTGTGTCCCCCAAACTCCTGAGCTGGCCAGGTCCACTCTCCTGAAGAAGACTGCTACCTCCAGATTTGAAGACTGCTAAGAGGGAAAAGTCTATGCAGTCAGCAGATCAGGGCTAGGTGGCAGCAGGGACATGGCTGCAGTCTGCCAGCCCTTTCTTACAACCAATCCAACCCAGGGAAGATATTGAAAAGGAGGTTCTTGGTTTGGAGGGCTTTTTTTTTTTTTTTTTCCAATCTCATCTCTTCTTCCCCCTTCACTCATTCACTCTAAGTTGTCGACAAATGGCTTTACATCTCTGTGCCTCAGTTCCCTCATCCGTAAAATGGTGACATATTATAGTACTTACTCCAGAAAGTTGTGGAATTAGTTGAGATGACAAATGCTAATGGACTGCCCCAATAAAGACGTTTGTTAATGTTAATTGATCCACTGATACCGTTCAAGCCTCACTTGGCCCCACAAGCTTGTTAGCTCACACTTGGGTGGCCAGGATTTCCTCCAAGAACACTGGAAACAAAGGTCACTGGCATCTGTGCTCTGCTTTCCATGTCTATTTCCCCCATTCTGTTCCTGGTTCCCTTATGAGGTAGGCACATCATTAGTCCCCATTTCCCAGGGGTCAGTAATGAAGGATCAGAGTGGTTAGATAACACTACCTTCAAGGTCAGACAGGTAAGGGGTTCCTGGTCAGAGTCAAGTTTACATGAAGCCAAACACAGCAGTATCCCCCTCCCTCACTGTCACTTAAGGGTTGGCTTACCACATCCTAGGATGTGCCATTCTGCCTCAGCTCTCAGGTAAACAATTCTGCCCTGAGTCCTGAAGTCAAGTAGAGCCAATCAGGACAATTCTAACTCAAGTTCAAATCCACACAGCTGTAACCCCTCCTCCACAAGGACTTGGGTGTAAGAGGTTTTTCTCCTTAAGGAGCCCCTCTCCCCTTTTTGGAAGACAGAATATCACTAAGTAGCTCTGGCTAGTCTAGAATTTGATATGTAGACCAGGCTGGCCCCGGACTTGCAGAGATCCCCTGCCTCTGCCTACAGAGTGCTAGAATTATAGGGGTGTGCCACTACACCAAGACCCTTGGGGGCCCTTTTTTAGTCTTGTTTTTTGAAAAAGGGTCTCCCTGTAGCCCTACCTGGCTCAGAGCTCGTTATGTAGACCAGGTTGGCCACGATCTCACAGAGAGTGCTTGGGATTGAGGGCATGCGCCACGATGGGCAACTTGGGGACTCTTTTATCCACACACCAAGCACACAGAGAAGCACAGAACACGCTGAAAGGGAGGGTCCTGCATTTAACCAAAAGCGAAGGCTGACATATAGCCAAGCTAAGGAGGGCCCAAAAGGTTTATTTTCTTCCTTTGGGGAAAGAAAATTGGGTTGACTCCTCTCCCGGAGGCAGAGTTTTCCAGTGCGCCGAGCCCACCGTTCTTCAAGAACCCTTTCTTAGTTCCCAGCTCTGCCGCTCAGGGGCCAGGACGGCCATCGCATACCCCCCTCCGAGGCCCCCTGCGGCCCCGCCCCCGCCCTCCAGGCCCCGCCCCATCTCCTAGAGGCCCCGCCCGGGCCGGCAGACTCAAGGGCTAGCGCGCAGCAGAGCTCGGCATTGTGGCAGGCGGCGGGCGAGCAAGGGCGCCGAGCTGCTGGGAGCAGCAGGGCGCGGAGAGGAGCGCGCTGTGGACTCGGACTGAGCGGCGCCAGCCGCTGCGAACGCCCCTGAGCGCACTCCACTCGGATCGCGCAACTTCGCAGGCAGGGCGCGCGGAGCCCAGGGAGCGCTCGGAGCCCCGGGAGCGCAGAGCCGGGCGCGCCGGAGCCTGAACCCGGAGCGGGCACCCGGCACCCAGCTCGCTCCGAGCCCCCGGCGGCCTCTCGGCGCAGCGTGGCTGCCGCTGCCCCCACGGAGGACACGGGCTGGCGCGGCCGGGTGCCGGGGAGGAGGCGGCGGCGGCGGAGACGGCGGCGACGAGGCTGGGGCCAGGGACAGAGCCCCGGGGGAGAGGCGCCCGAGCCGGGCTGCGGGAGCATGTGGGCCGGGAGCGGAGCGCGGGCTGCGCTGCTGCTGGCGCTGCTGCTCTGCTGGGACCCGACGCTGAGCCAAGCAGGTAGGGGCGATCGGGCGTCGGACCGGGTTTCGGGGGAGGTACCCCGGCATCTCCCTGCGCCCAACTCCAAGTTTAGGTGGTTTTTGGAGTCGGGTCTGCTCAGGGAAAGCGACGGGCGCGCCCAAGTTAAAAGGCAGGTTCTGTGCTCTGGGAAAGTGGGTGACGGCGCAGCCACCTGACGGACGCTGACGAGGGGATGCGCTCAAGCTGGAATCTTCCTGCTTCCGCCTGCAAGGGACCACTTCTTTTCCCTACAACGGGGTACAATTCACTTCCAGGGGCAACCCTGACTTCCACCGAAAAACTGTCCCAGGGCCTGGTGTGCGCTCGCTGAAACTTCCTAGTCAGGGCTCCGCCTGCTCGCTCCGACTCCTGCTCGCTCGGACTCCTGAGCGCTGGAACTAGCACCCTTCAGATCCAGGGAGGAGAGTCCGAGACCTCGGAGTCCCGGAGGCGCTGGTCCCCCTCCATCCGCTCGGAGCGGGGTCGTAAGGCCTTAGCTATTGAAGGGGACCGGTCGAGTCCTGCGCACACTGCTCTCCTGAGTTGCAGGGCCCACAGGTTTGAAAGGGTATGTGTTTATGTTGGAAGGATTGTTTATGGGTGCTAGGGTGAGTGTTGAGAGGATGGACGGACCTAGGGTCCGCTGCCGACTTTCCCAATTTTAAATGGGTCATTGGCATTCTCACTGACCGGGAAGTAGACTAGGTGACCTCGCCTCTCTCTGTACCACACCTGTATCTCTCTGGACCCGGAAAAATGCCATAAGAGGGTTGATGGACTCCTAAGTTTATATTCTCCAAACCCCCTTCTGAACATGGGTCGGTAGCGGGACTCTCGTTGCAAAGTGAGCTGCGTCTTCGCTGGGAGGCGATGTACAATACACTCTGGCGCCAGCCTCGGGTACCTGAACCCAAGCAGAAGGACTGACTGGGAAGGGTACCCTGTCTCTCGGAGCTGGGTGAGGACTGGAGGGGGGTGCAGTATGGAGGCCTTTCTGAATGAAAGCTAAACTACAGGGCAGAAAAACTAGAGCCCAAAGTGCTTGAGGTGCCGCGGCCCCCTCCTTCCGCCTTCTTGTTGACATCCACTCCTCCCCACCTCTCAGGTTGTCCCCCACCCCACCTCTGAAATTAATGATTCCCACGGCCCGTTCTGTGAGCTTGCTTTTTGCACATCCCCCACTTCTTCTTCTTCTTTTTTTTTTTTCTCCACGCCTTGTGCAGTAAAGTTACGACACTCAATCATTTGATCCAAGTTAATTACAATTTGGGCAGAGTCCGGTATTTAAAGCAGTGTTTTGAAGTTGGAAGGTAATGATGGGGAGGGGGGAGGCAGGCTAAATGACCAGCCTTGTTTTAAAGGGTGCAGTTAGATGTGGGAGGTGCTGGATTGGGTGTTGGTTTCTGGTTTGAGGATGCCTGAGGTGATTGAAGGGTAGGGTGAAGTCTCTGTAAATGGCACATGGGCTGGGTCCAGTCTTGAGAAGCTGCTTTTAGACCAGCAGGGCAGTGGAATGAGGACCAGATACCAAGGTTACTACTCCAGATGGGGGCTCCGCTAGGAGACAAACAGGATTGGAGTCCTCAGGATAGGTGGGCTGGACCAGGAAGGCTGGAGGTGGCCTGCTTTTCCTGCTTAACAAAGCATTCAGCCCCACCTTCCCCGGAAGAAACCCCAGGCCCAGGGCTTTGATGGATTGGGGCACGAATGGTGCCCAGTCAGAAATGGCCTCTAATACCCAGCTTTGATTTCTCGCTAGCGAACAGAAGCCGTGTTAGAATTGTGCTCATTACATAGCACCACAGGGGCGCCTGCCCACCAGCCTGGAGAAGGGCCAGCTGCTGGGGTCGGCCTGCTGCCTGCCTTTGCCCAGAATGTGCTGCCCTTAGGAACCTGCCTTTGGGAAGGAGAGTATGCCTCTTCCTCCCACACTGCCTGTGTTTTCCAATGCCATAGGCACGAGCATCTTTCTTTCCAGATGCTCTTTGGGTTTTCCCATGGTGTTGTGTTCTTCGCCCCCCCCTTCCCATTTCACTGATGGGGAAATGTAAGGCCAGAGCACAGGCTTTCCGCACATGTTAACTTCATACAGATTGCAGACTAGTATTCCGGGCTCCTGCCCATTAGCTAGGTTGGCTTCAGTCACATGGGACAGGTCCTACCACAACCTCTACCTAGCTGCCATGAGATGTCTCTACAATGAAGGCTTTTTCCTGGACTCCCAAGAAGGGATAGACACCTCTCTCTTTCCCCCTCACCCACCCTACAAATATGAGAGGGAGGAGAATGTTTTCTATGAAGTATGATGGTAGAAAAATCAAAACTAGAACCCTAGAACTCTGGACCCTAGATGAAGATGCTAGTACATGACTGGCTAGGAAAGACTACTTCGAAAGCTCTGCCTGGCCCTGGGAGTCACCTCCCAGCCCACCCCTACCCCTCCAGCCCTTCCAAAGCCCTTCCTAGGTCTCCAAATGGGACAGTTGAGAAGGAGCTGAGGTTTTGATTATATGCCTTTTTAAGGTGTAGTTAAGGTGGGAGTTTTCCTAGTGTCTTAGTGTGTGTTGCCTGTGTGTTGTGGTGGCTTCCCTGGCTCCCTCTGCACCATAGTGAGCTCCCATCTCACTTAAACAAATGGAAAATCAAGTGTCTTAATGGGCTTTCTCATTAAAGTGGAAGTACCACTGCAGGGGAGGAATTTCTCCTGTAATCTCACTGCATCCCACTGCCCCCACCAACCCCTTAGGGAATTCCATAGAACCCAAGAATTCCCCTGCCTGTTTTTAACTGCTAGAGCTTTGAGAAAGGCACAGAGTTGCCCCAGGTCACACTGGAGCTCATGGGTAGAGTCAGATTTTGAACTCAGGGCTCATGGGTCTCCTCAGCCTCGTGCTTTAGGCTTCTTCATCCTTCCACCTGTGAACTGGTGAGCCATCCTAAGTCTAGGATGCTGAAATTGAGGTGTGGCCAAAGTTGGGGAGCCAAAAACAGGATTGCTTCAGTAGCTAGGTTGTACTGGGGCTTGGTGGCAGGGTGATGAAAGAGAAGATTGGGGGGTAAGGACCAGGAGCCATGGAACACAGCAGGGCTAAGGACCAGGAGTGAGGCTCTAAGACTTGGCAGATGTTGCTCAAAGGTGACTTCAACCTCGGGCCCCTAGTACTGAGCTTAGCAAAGGTAACACAAGTGTCCAATCGAGCACCATGGATGGTCAAATGGCAGAATTTAGTGGGCTATGTTCATCCGCAGAGGTGGGGGCATTTAGGGAACCATGGCTATGAAATCCCTCTTGGGTGGAGGTACTGTGACCCTATTCCTGGCTGTCAGGCCCAGGATGAGGCTGGGCCCCCTGCTTCCTTTGTGTGGGCCACCTAGGTGTTTAGGCTGCTCTGGGGCTAGACATGGTAAGCTGCATCCCCTCTATCCCACCCAGGTGCAAGCTTGGAGATTCTGAATGAGCAGTACTGAGCGTCCCCAGGGCTGGCTGGCCACAGTACCATCCTGGGACCTCAGAGCTGGTTTGAGGTGGAAAGGAGACAGCTTGGAGAAGCCAGCAGAAAAGGGCAGAGGGGCTGGGTCCTAGGCTGGGACTTGGTGTTGGTGGCCCTGGGCCCAGAGAAACTACTGCCTAGGCAGATGGCCCCTAGGGGGAAGGGAGGGGAAAGGCTGCTGCCAGGCCTGAGCTGGCACTTCTGTTGGCATCCTCCTCCTCCTCCTCCTCCTCTCCACCAGTTTCCTAAACAGCTTCCACAAATGGAGTCATTAAAGCTGTGAAGGCAGAGTGAAACCAAACAAGTGAGGGCTGTGCTTTGGTTTTGTTTTGTTTTTTCCTCTTTTTAAAAGGAAATTAAAAATACTGAAATGAGAATCATACTGAAAAACGGCCAAGTCTAAAGGCCAAACTAGCGCTGTTCCCCTCCAGGGTGGCTGGATCCTGGAGTCTGCATTCCCCCTGTGAGCCTGTGCTGGCCTGGCACCTAGGGGTTTTCCCCTGCCTAGGGTAGTATATAAACCCCACATAGGGTTTTTTTTTTGGCGTCCTGGAGCTGGCTGCCGGCTGTTTCCAGGGAGTTGGGTGACAGGCTGGATCTGGATCTCAGGCTCTGGAGGCTGTGATTCGAACTCTGCTGCACCCCATGAGCAGACAAGCCCAGGCTGAGCTTGCTAAGCCACAGGTCCCCCCACCCCCCTTGGCGCCCTTCCTCTGGCTCCTGGTCTTCCCGAGGCTAATGGCAGGGAAAACATTTGCTGAAGTGCAGGCATAAATCAACCGTCGCCCCCATCCCCCCTTTTGTTTCCTCTTCCCTCTAGAGCACCTCGCTAAGCTGGGCTGCTGGAAGCTCCCAATTGTCCCCCTTGCCACAAAGCCTCCTGAATTGCATCTCCACAGCTTCAGGGTTGGATTCAGGGCTGTCACCTAGTGTTGACAGGCACCACACCCACTGCACACAGCCTTCCTGTTCCCTGTGTCCTCTTTACACCCTCCTCCCTAGCCAAGCTAAGCACCTTTCTGCCCAGTCAAGCTAAATCCGTCTGGGTCTGCCTAGCCCTCGGTGCTCAAAGGCACCGCCTAGTGAGTGAGCACCACCGTACCCCCTCCTTCCCTACGCCCTTCTTTCTCAGCTCCACCAAGCTGCCCCCAGCGCCTCACAACTTCCCCAGCACCAGCAAGGCGGGCTGTGGGTGTGAGAGTGTGAGCTAAGGAGTGAGTGTGAGAATGTGCAGTGAGGAGTGGGGAGGGGAAGGGAGGGTGTCATGTCTGTCTGAGGGGTGTGTGTGTGTGTGTGTAGGTGAAGTGTGTAGGGGTGTGTGCAGGAGGACCAGTGCATGCTGTGGTTTGCACCTTTTGTTTGGAAGGTTGTGTGGTGTGCACAGCTGTTTGAGTGTTTGGGCATGTAGGGGGTGTGCAATGTCATATGGGCATGGTTGCGTTGTGTTTGGGTATAAATAGGTATATGTACTGTAGAGACAGTGAGTCACACCTGGGAAGCTCCATG